TTGATATAAGTAAAATATCAATTTTAGCCCTGTTAAAAATGGATAAAAAAAATTTTCCGGTGGAATTTTGACAAAAAAGTGGCCGGAATGACCATTTTTGCAAAAAAATCAATAGTCGTGGACTAAAATTGCAAGGTTCAAAAGTCGTGGATCAATTCTGCTAGTGCCACTATAGTCGTGGGACCAAAAGTGCAAAAAACTCTTTCGAATTTGGGTGGACTCCTTCGTAAACTCGACTGCTGCACCCAATTGTTCGTCATTCTCTCTCGCGTTTCACTGATTTTGTTCTCAGCTAGATGGTCGACGTTCATGGTAGGAATCCCAAACGTCATCGTCCGGCGACAAGGTCGTTCGTTCAAGGTCGGTTTTTTTTTTTTTTTTTTTTTTCATTTGCGTTGTCTGCGCTATTATGAGTTGTTTGATGTTTTTTTTAATCATTCTATTTTTGTTTTTTCATCTATTATTGGGTGCGGGTATGTAGTTGTGTGTGGTTTGGGGTTGTGTTCGTTGTCGGTGGCCATGACATTTTTTTTCTTTTTCGATTCTCCCATGTTTCAGATTTTTCCCGATTTTTGTTGGGGTTGTTCGTTGTCATTTGATGTCGGGAGTCTTGTATTCGGGCCGTGGGTGTGCACTTGTATATGGGTTGTGGTTTTGTTCGTGGTCGGTTTGTTTTGTTGGTTGTCATCCTGTATTTATTCTTTCAGTTTTGTACATCAGTATGGCACACACAAATCATCACAACGGCACATCATCTTTCTAGTCCCTCATTTTCATGTACGTAAATAAATGAAGCACGTTTTGGCACACAGAGAACGACCCATATGCACACGACTGCCTGGTTATTTTTGTGGTTGCACATTATGGCTCATACAGATCTCCCTAAGTGCACAAGTAGCTGTATACCATTTGTCATACAACTTTAATTTAATCCCCAATGTTTTATTATGCGTTTCATTTTTTCAGCTATGTTTTCTAATGCTTGTCAGAAAGATTTGTTGTCTGTATTCCTTGATGATGAGGTTGATGATCGGTATGGGGCTTTCTTACGGAGGATTGTCCCTAGAAGGATGCCGATGTGTTGGCGTGATGCACGTAACAAAGTAGATTGTGGTGTCATTGTGATGCGGAACATGAAGACCTTTTTGGGGCAATAAGTGAATGCATGGGATAGTGGCTTGCAAAAGGGTGATACTAGGGGCTTGATCTGTTGAGGATGTCTTATATGTGTCAGATTTTGTCGGCAGAGATTAACATTCACCGTTCCAACATCATTCTTAGCGTTGTTGAATACTGTGCCGGCCTCTGACAAATTTAGCTATGTGTGCTCATCTATAGTTAGTTTATCAGTTGTTTAGTTTATTACACTTGGGTACATTCAGAAATTCTGATTATGGTATTTGATAGTGCGTCTTTTATTTGTTTATAATTTCTTTTTGGGCCAATTTTCTCATAATTAATGACGTTTTGTTGTAATGTTGCACACAAGGTATGGCTCACGCAGTTTTACCCATGTGACAACGTGATATTTCACCACCTTCTTGTACGTATTTTTGTTTGCTTACTTATTATGGGAAATATGGCACACACGCGATCCTCAAGTACACACCAATGGCTACTGTTGCTCAGATTGGCACACACAATGCAGTATGGCACACACAGTATGACCAATCTGCACAACATCTCGGTCACCGACTGTTCATCCAAATGCTCCTTCTGTACATTATGGCACATGCAATTTAACACATGTGCACAACGGTATCTTTCACTATGCCCTAAGTTGTTTGGATTCGAACTAATGTTTTTTTGGAACATTATGACACGCATAGTTCAATAAAAAGCCGCATTTTGGCACACAGTGGAACGCACACACTAAACTATGTGCACGTTAGTTCATGGCCACCATAACGCTTCACAGTATGGCATACATGGTGTAAACCAAGTACACACCACCTTTTTTTTATGCCTTTTAGGCCATAAACTAATTATAGGCGTTAGGGGACTCACGTGAGCCCCAAGTGCACACCCTAGTGCCGCAACTCATACTAGTTTCCAAGGAATCAAACTGTCAGTACGGTTCCACACTTTGGCACTTGCCGCATAACCCATGTGCACACTGTCTGCAAATTCTCCATTTTAGAGGAATCAAACTGTCAATATAGCTGCACACTTTGTCACACACCGCATAACCCATGTGCACTCTAATTTTGGATTATCCATTCCTGACGGTGACTACTAGAATGTACACATAATTATACTCTAATTTCGGATTCTCCAATTTGAACCTATCTCGTGAACACAACACGTACTTCCATATGATTTCACCTACCATCGCTTTTTCTCAGTCGCTCACCGCACATCAAATCCTGTTGTAGTTGTGTACATTGTGTAGAATTCAATTCTTGATTCTAACTTTGTGAACCGCTGCCCAACCACATGCTTTAATTACTCTTCACCCTCTAGTGTCCGGTACTTCGTTTATCCAGGTGAGATATTCATCAAACACCCAAATGAACTCCCATATGTGCAACCATGACCTGTGGAATATGGCACTCATTATTTACTTCAAATGTGGTTAACCACTGTGGCACAAACATCCAGACCAAGGTGCACGCGTTGGGGGTTTCTGTGGCCGAAGTTGCACACTCATTACCCCAGCAGTGCACTCAACCCAGGTTGGTATAGTGTGTGCACTTGGGGAAAGTAGTATGTGCCACTCTATGATAGCTTTGTGTGTGCATGTTAAGATAGAAAGCATTTGTGTGTGCACTTGTGTAACATAGTGTATGCCCAAATATGCAGGATTAACGTGTGTATGACAAGTCGGAAAACATTAGATTGTGCACTTGGGTAAGGTAGTGTGTGCCCTTCTTTGCTGAATTCGTGTGTTTTCCAAGACCAAAAGCATTTGTGTGTGCACTTGTGTGTTTCAGTGTGTGTTGTAACGTTACATCTTCAAAAATGGCAGAACCATTATATGTACCCACCCAAATCTGCAGAATCCTCTTGGTCAACATTCCCAACCAAATAACAGTGTTTATAAACGCAGCCGCTCTTTTCAGTCACCTATAGGCTTCCACGGAATAACACGAATGTATGTGTTCAAATACATCCAAATTGGACGTATGCACAGCTATATAGGAACAATTTTTAATGTTACCCATGTTTTCGCCGCTAGCCATTGTCCTGCACCAACCGCCGATGAACGCTTGTCGGCATCACTCTCCGAGACCGTTCGAGTGCTGAACTGACGTCCTTCATCCCCTGTCGTAAACTAGTGGAATGCAAATCCAACAATCATTAGAATCCTTGCTTATCTTGTCATCCTAAAATCAAGGGAAGAATCCAAATATAATATTTGTTTTTATTTGTTAGTTGGAATAAATTACACTTATAACCTTTTTAATTAAGAACGTGTAAGATGTAAATAAAAATGCTTAATTATCTAGACCATTGATTAAGCAAAATTGTAGGGCTTGGATTAGTTCCTATGTTCTTACCTAAAGATGAGTTCTCACTTGAAGGCCACCCTATATATATATATATATATATATATATATATATATATATATATATATATATATATATATATATATATATATATATATATATATATATATATATATATATATATAAACTATAATAAAGCTATATGGTTTGGGAAGTAATTAATGTTACAATTAATGTTACTTCTCAAACCATATAGTTAAGATTAATGTTACAATTAATTACCAACATTATTATTATTACAAGCTATAAATATAAAATAGCCACAACATCCTTTACTATAAAAAATAAAAAAATAAAAAAAAATCACAACATTTGAAAAATAAAATAATTATTTTTTTCTCGCCCATAACAAAGGATTACATTTATTGAATTAATGGAGTTATTAAATGTTATGATATTAGGATTAAGGATTCTGATTCCCGATTAATAGAAAATATGAAACGATGCAATATCAATTAAATCTCTGGCTTTACAATGAAAGCTTATTTGATATGCTTTTGTTATTTATGGTGCTTCTTGTGATTACAATATTAATTAAATTTTCGATGAAAGCCTATTCGATATCTGAAACAGTGCAATTAATGCAAGCCACTACATATAATTTTTCTCCCTCTCAAATGCTTCAAATTAAAGAAATGGCAGAAGCGAGAAGGGATGAAGAAAGCAAATGCTCCGGATCGTGGGTCAATTATTGGACTTCAGAATTAAAAAAAAAAAAATACATTTGAATTATCTCCACAAAAAGTGGTCTTGGATTTATAGAATGACATTTGGGTTTATGGAATGACATGTGCATAAAGAATATATTATATAATCATATAAAAAATGTGTTCAATTAGAGTTTAAATTTACTCATACAAAATTTGAAATTTGCTTTCTAAATGTAATTATCTTAGTTATTATTCGTATTGTGAAAATTATAATATAGATGAAATACAATTAAGAATAAATCAATGTAATTATGTAATTTTCTCTATAAGTTTATTTGAATATGTACATAATTAGAGATTATATTAACCATACAAAATTTTAATTGTAATTTTGTATTCTATAAAAATAATAAATACTTAACAAATGGAAGCTCAAAAATATTATTATATTAAACAATTTAAAATAACTATTTATTTATTTATATTTATAATAACATAATTTTTTCCCCGTGCATCACGCGGGTAATAATTATTAACTAACAAAAATTTTATATATGAATAAACCTCATATAAGGTATATTTTATAACATATTTTTCGTGCATCGCACGGGACAAATACTAGTATATATATATAGACACACACACACATGGATAACAATCAGCCCATTGATCCTAGCAATCCAAACTGCACACCACCGGCCCAATTCAAGACCCACAACCCACAACCCACAATAAAAGACCAAAAGAATCTAGACTACGCAGACATTATTGCAGCTTCCCTCTTTTCTCGCTTCTGTGACCTCTCTCGACACTCTCCCTTTCGTTTCTAGAAACTATAAGCAAATCCAATAGAAACAACAATAGCAAATGAATGAAAGAAAAAAAAAAGAGTTTCATGCTGATTAATAAGTTCTGCCCAGAATTGCCATCGCACCAGACCAAATTCCATCGCCCAGAAATTGAGATTGCATGCAGAGAAGAAATGAAGCTGACGCTGGATTAATTCACTGAAAATAACAAATTGCTACGACTCGAAAATTACCACGACTCTGAAATTACCACACCATCGGAATTATAGCTAATTGGAGTTTCCGAAATCGAAACCCGGCCGGATGAAACTCTGCTAACCAATCGGTCAATTCTTCTCGATCCAGCGGCAGGTGTTCGTCGGGCAGAAACAATCTGGGCGGCAAAGCAAACAATACCATGCATCGAATAGAGACCACAACATCTTTAAGGTAAAACCTTGCCTTTCTGATTTTGTGACGTAGGATGGAAGCTCAAGAAACAATCACACAAATTATAAGAACTCAAAGGGAATAATATTCTTCTTCAATATCTCCAGGATTACAGAACATATGAATATATAGGCAACTCCCTATGTGTGAACAAAGAAAATTGAATATATATATATTAAATTCAAAATTCTGGGTTACATTGAGTATCAAATGCGGGCGTGATCGAGATTTGATTCGAGCTCGCATTAGCATCAGCGAGCTCAATTTTCCCATCCCTGGCCAGTGCCATGACTTTATCTTTGAAGATAAAACACTTCTCAATCGGATGACCAAGAAGACGGTGGTACTTGCAGTAATATGGGTCATCCACCCTTCTAGCTTCATCGGGACGTTTCATTTCAGGCAACTCAATGAGCCTAAGTTTGAGTAGCTCATAAAACATGGGAGATACATCGGAATCCATGAAAGGATAAGTCTTCTCCTACCTTTCTTCAATTGTTGGCCTTCTACCACCCCATGACGGGCCAGAAAATGATCTTGACCTAGGCCTTTCAGTTGCCTTAGTGAAGACTGTCATAGGAGTAGCCTTCACATTCATCACTTCTTTCTTTTCCTGCTTTGGAAAAGGTTTGTTCCACTTTTTAACTTCTTGTTTTCCAGGTGCATTGGAGGAGCTAGGCAAGTTCAATATGTTGAGCCCTTCGCTGGCTTCGATGCTCAATTCTATGTCGTGAGCACGACTGGATAACTCCTCAAAGGACTTTGGCTTAATCCCTTGTAGGATATAGGAGAGTTCAAAGTGCATTCCTTGGATGCACATCTCAATTGCAGAACTTTGGGATATTCTTTCTTTGCAATTCAGGCATAGTTCCCTCTACCTTTCGATGTAGGTACCGGCGCGTTCACCCTTCCATTGGCGAGTAGTGGTGAGTTCCAAGAAGCTAACCGTTCTCCTTGTGCTATAGAAACGAGTTAAGAACTCACGTTCCATATCATGCCAGCTATCAATGCAGCCGGGCGCAAGGTCAGTGTACCAATCAAACGCAGTTCCCTTTAATGAACGGACAAACTGCTTTACCAACAGATCGCCATAAGTCCCTGCATCATTGCATGTCTCTACAAAGTGGGCAATGTGCTGTCGGGGATTTCCTTTGCCATCGAATTGCTGGAACTTAGGAGGTTGATAGCCGTAGGGCATTTTCAACTCCTCAATTCTTTGTGTGTAGGGCTTAGCATATGAATATGAAGGTTGTCCTTCATCCAACTTGCCTTTGATGGCCCCCATTATGTAGCCCTTCAACTGATCCACCGGTATCATGCCTTCGGTAACTGGAATAGTTTTCTCAGTTGCAGGTAAGTGGGGAGCAGCTTCTCCTACCACATGGCTAACATGAGGTGGTGGTGATTGCTGACCAACCTCTTCTTGCCCTTCAGGTTGCTTTCCTGGAGCACGACTTCCTTGCTCCTCCATGATGCTTCCTACCCTATTATCGAGGGTGTTAAGCCGTTTCTCTTGATTTTGGAGAGTGACAGCCATTCCTTCCAGAGACTTAGCAATTCTAGCTAATTGCTCCTCCACAGACTCTGTGTTTGTCGCCATGGCCGGCATGACGTTGTAGACATGCGACCACTCAGGTGCAGCCTTCCATAATGGATGTGGCGGAGTTACGGGGGAAGTGTTCCCGCTACAAGCGTTCCCTTGCATAGAAGTTGGACTACCACCATCGGTAGCTCCCTTGGGAGAGGGTGGACTTCTAGCAAAAGCAATTGCCTTTGAGGCAGCAGGGGCCTTATCAAGCCTTCGAACCACACGTCATGCCATGGACTGAGGTTCAGGCACTTGGACCCCCAAATCCTTTGCGCGGTTCCTTGTCAGCGGACCTTGCGTTTTCTGGGTTGTGCCAGGGCTAGCTACAGGCGTAGACTTGGACTTGGTAGCTTGGGCATAGGTCCTCCTGAACATGGGATTGTTTGATGTCATTTGATGCGCAGGTAGAGGTATAGTAGTAGAGAGATGAGAGGCAGAGCTGTCCCACTGGGCGTGCCAAAATATTTAAACGCGAAAAACTTGAATTGTATATATTCAAAATTCAAAGTATCGGTTACAAGTAGTATGTATCAATAAAGCAGGGGTACAATCTCTGTATATGAGAAGTCCTCTGATTCTCTACTAGAAGTATGCCTATTTGATGTGTGCCAAATTTGGAATATGCCAAATTGGAAGTGTGCCGAGTCCAGAGTATGCTGAACTTGAAGTAGTTCCTTGTCGGAAGTATGCCGAATCCGGAATATACCGAATTGGAAGTGTGCTGAGTTCAAAGTTCGGGAGTATGCCGAACTGGAAGTATGCCGAGTTCAAAGTATGTTGAACTGGAAGTATGCCGAGTCCGAGAGTATGCCGAACTGGAAGTAGTTCCTTGCTGAAGGGCCTCCGGAGTTATGTAGCTTGTTCTTCAATGAAGGGCTAATATGCAGCTTGATCTTCAAAGAAGGGCTTCCGGTGTTCAAGTGGCGTGTTCCTCAGCGCGGTATACGCAGTACAACTGCGGGCGTGTTCCAGACGATATCCTGGAGAGATTTCGGCAGAGCTTCGATATGCAGATTTCCAGACCTCATTCTTTGAAAATGAAACCACTATTTATAGTGGTGAGGGTGAGGGAAAATCTCCAACCAACTCTTAATTCCTTATTTAATTTAATTTCTTTAATTAAATTAAGGAATGTATCGAGACACCATTGCGCCCAGGTTCATGATTTCATTAAATTTCCAAATAATATCAAATATTCAAATTTCCTCAAAATTATATAATCCATATATAATTTTAGTGGGCCAAGACCAAGTCAAGCCCGCTAATTAGGCAACCCAATTCATCCAAGCAGCCCGGTCCAACTCAATTAAATATTTCATCATTTCGGGCCGAACAATCCAACATCCAATTACATTTAATTAAGCAATTAAACCAATTAAATATTTAATAGGCCATTTTAATTAACCCGATTAAAAAAATACCAGTCTAATTAGCTTAATTAAAGTAATTAATTTAACAATCAATTATCCACCACGGTGCAACAATACTATTTAAATTTCCAATGCTTACAAATTTGTAAACAAAGAAAATTGAATAATATATTTTAATATTCAAAATTCTGATTACATGTCAAATATCAAGGGGGTGTGGGTACAAGATCTCTGGATGTCCTCTGATTCTTCAATTTGATGTCTTGAACACTCCACCATTGAAGGGCCTCCGGGTTTCGAGTGGCTTGATCTTCAAAGAAGGGCTTGTATATATAGCTTGTTCTTCTTGAAGGGCCTCCGGGTTCAAATGGCTTGATCTTCAATAGAGGTTTGGATCAACATGCATCAACATATGGAGGAGGAGGGGCTTTTGCTTTCAGGATCACATTTTTATTGTGATCCTGAATAATATTTTTCTAGATGTTTACATCACTTTTCCTAGGATGTGTGTGATTACATAGAAATGAAATGCCCTATTTATAGCTGTAGGATAGAGAGTTTTGATAAGCTCAAACTCTTTTGATATTATCTAATTAAACAAATTAGATAATATCAATATTATCCAAAATATTTTAAATATATTCAAATATACTAATATTGATAAATAATCAATATTTTGTCTACAAATGCCCCCTCGAGACTTGCTTATACACCACTTGAGAGCATATAGCATTCAAAAGTATGTAGTGCAAGAAAGTCTCGACACTACAACTTAAAGATATAAGGCCGTTTCAACTCGTGCCAAGGAGTCTTGAAAGATATGAGGTCGTTTTTACTCGTGCCAAGGAGCATGAACATGAGGCCGTTTAAACTCGTGCCAAGGAGTATCATTTAAGTGCCAAGGAGTGCCAAGGAGCCTTGAAAGATATGAGGCGAACACCCGGACGGTTCGCTCCGCTGTGCACTGAAAAGGAAGATGGGAAACAATGGAAGCGTCCACTCCCCTTCATTGTTAAGCACGCTGTCGGTCAAAGTTCAGAACCACGGCGGAATGATAACACATCCGAAGGAAAATGGGTGATTGTCACTCATAGAAAGAAGAAAGTTGAGCCTGTGAAGCATCAAAAACACATAGTGAAAAGTTGGCTTGAGAAAACTTCAAAAAATACTCATGCCCACAAATCAAAGACGAAGGGCCATGTCAAACAGCCACGTGCACCAGTTCCTTTGGCTCAATATATGCCAAAAGGATTTGATCTTCAAGGGGCCGGCACTTCTGGCTCCTGCCTAAATACAAATGACAAGCCAGAAGATGGAGGTGAATGTTCATCTCCTAAACATATCGAGGATGAGGAAGTGCTAATGCATAAGGTTACTTCCTACTCCACAGAAATTACCTTCAAGGATGAAGACTTGTTACTTGGAGGCACGCCACACAATCGGCCATTATTTGTTGAAGGCTACACCCGTGGGCAAAAACTCAAAAGAATTATGGTTGATCAAGGCTCAGCTGTCAACATCCTATCCCTCCGAGCTGTGAAGGACCTTGGTATATCTACAGATGAGCTTGCCCAAAGTCGTCTAATGATACAAGGCTTCAACCAGGGAGGGCAAAGAGCAATCGGCATCATCAGACTTGACTTAAGAATTGGAAGCCTAAGTTCAGGTGTCCTCTGCCATGTCATAGATGCGAGGACATCTTATAACTTGTTACTTGGAAGGCCGTGGATACATGAAAATGGGGTGGTACCCTCGTCTTGGCATCAATGCCTCATGTTTGAAAAGAACGGCGTAGTTGAAAAGGTTGTCGCCGATGAAAGCCCTTTCACAGAGGCTGAGTCTTACTTTACAGATGCAAAGTTCTACATTAAAAGGCAAGTTATTGTTGAAGATATCGAGGGAAACAATGACGATCCACCTTCCCGATCGAAGTCAAAGGGAAAACAAGTTATACAGAGAGATCAACACAACACAAAACTCATCTTCCCGCTTGCGAGGATTGATACACTCAAAACAAATGCAGCAAAATCATCCGAAGAGAA